TCATGAGTAGAATGTTGTTAACTGGTTGTGGCAGGAGAGTGCCTGAGGGTGGAGGCCTGGGCGAAGCAGATCCTCCAGGCCACCCTGCAGCAGTGGCGGATGGTGCCTGAGATTAGGTCTGCCTTCTAGCCTTGAATTTCTTACAGGTGACTATAGGATAATAACCCTGTTTTCCTATCTCCAACCATCAGCAGGCATTGCCTAGCCCTTATCTATAGAGCCCTTGATCCAATTGGGGACACAGGCTGTCCTGTCCCAAGCCTTGGCTTCATATGTAGAGAGGGAGGCTCAGGGGTTCCTGAGAGCTGTGACCATCTGCTCCTGTGCATTGTATTTCGAGGTCGTGGTGGTTTGGGTTAGTGGGCAGACATTGGGGTCAAGATAAGCCATGAGGGATGGCCTGTCTTGCTTAGCCCAGAAAGCTTGACACTGGGTATCCTGGCCTTGGGTATGGCCCAGGCAGCCCCACACATACTCTTATGCCATTTGCCCCCTTCACAAACTTTTTTGCTTTTAGATTGTTTGAGCTTGGGAAGCCTGCAGCTTATTTCCTCTAAACACCTAAAGTATGGTCCTCCCTCCCTTATCCACTGCCAGCCCTTCCTGCTTGGTGCTCAGACTGTTGCCATCTGGTATCTTCTTTCTTCCCATTTTCTGAAAGCACGGACCCTACTTACCTTCCTTTCATTCTTCCCACAATGTCTTTCGTGTCTCTTCTGTGGAGTCCAGACTGGACTAGCCCTCTGAGGAGCTATGAGTAAACAAGCCAGCCTGTGTCCCTGCCCTCTTAGGACTGAGAGCGAAGTGAGGCAGATAGCGTCTCTTAGTGAGCCAGGTAACAGGCTGGTTAGGGTGGCTCTTGGGTTGCAGGAATAGTATTATAGGAGGCCAGGTAGGGATCAGGCAGATGGCATCAGGTGAGTGGTGGAAGGAGAGCCACCCATCAGAGGAGTAGGAAAAGATGAACTTATGTGTGGGCAGGGAAACCGAGGGAAAGCCTGGAGCTCTCCCTCTCTTTGAGGGAGGTGCAACCTGAATGTGTGCAGGAGGAAGAGTTTGAAGTTCTTTACATTCTGCCCTGGAGAGAGAGAGTTCACATGACAGGTGTAGCGCCTTGAGGTGGCCACTTGCTCTTCAGATTCTTCTTCCTGCCTCGGCCTTCAGTCTAGTCTGCCCTTGTACATGGGAAGGCCTATACGTAGGCTAGAGGGGCCACTGGAGTCCAGAAAGATGTGTGCCATTATCCGGCAAGAGACTGCCTGGGCTTCGTCCTATGCCCAGAGGGGTTGCACCAGTGATGCTGTAACAGATTGCACAAGGCCCGAGGAAAGTCTGGTTGTAGCAGCTGTCCATGGTGGCTAGCGTACATCATGTGCCTGGCAGGTGTGTAACATGGGTGGCTCACCCCTCTTGTGGTGCTCAGGGGAAGAGCCAAGGCCCCAGAAAGTCTGGCCTGAACCAGACTGCAAGATTGACTCAGCCACTTTCTGGCTCTTAGAGTCTGGGGCAACTCTTGAAACTCTCTGAGCCTCAGTTTTTTGGTCAGTAAGCATGATTGTCTATCACAAGCATTTATGGCACCGTGCTTTGCCAGGCAACATCCTCACCTTGTCTCACCTTGGGACACTGAAATGGCAGAGCAAGCTCTGTGCCTCAGGACCCTTGCCCCCTCATTCACCCTGCCAGCCTGGCACCCACCAAATCCCTGGTCAGGTTTTCTGGGCCTTGTCAGCTCCATCCTGGGCCTCAGTTGCGAGTTAGCTAAGCACTCTTGTGAGCTGTCTGGACACTTTGTGCCTGAGTCATCGATCAGCTGGAGCCTGGGAGACAGTGGGGGAAATGTGCTCTTAACAGTGCTCAGTGGCCAAGACTGCGGGAGGCTAATTTACAGTCCAGGTCCAGTTTGGCAGGCCAGTGCTTTCTGCAGTCTTTGAAGTGCCCTAATCCTGTCCTGCTGCTGCCCTCCTCTGTGGTCTTCTTTAGAGGCCGGGCCTTTTGGTGCAGATGTCATTGCAGAAGCCATAGAGTGGTGGAAAGTAGACACCAGGTGAGGATGTGTCCCTTTGCCACAGAACCTGCAGTGAGGTGCCAGGTAGGGAAGCAGTCTCTTGCTCTTCACTCTGCCTCCAAGACTGCTTTCCTTGGTTTTCTTAGGAATGATGGCTGTTGCAGAGATGCTTCTTTAAACCATGTTCTTCCATCTCTTTTCCTACCCCAGACTTCTGCTTTTAGGTCACCTAAGTCCTTCTCACAAGTGCCCAAGGAGCCCCAGAAACAGTGTGGGGGTCATAGCTCTGCGCTAACTTGTCTCTAGCCTCCTGTGCAGCGCAGGTCAAGCTCATGCCATGGGTCTTGGCTGGGAAGAGAAGGGTGCCTCACTGTGACCACAGCTGGTCCCCTCCACTTCTCAGCTGGGCCCTAACAAACTTGCCTGCCTGAGTTCTTGCTGCAGCCAACCCTCTAGTCCCATAGAACCTCATACAAGCCATAGTTTAGGTGTTGCCTCCTTCTGGAAGCCTCTCTGACCTTCCCCATTGCTCCCAGCTTCCATGGTCAAGTAGGCTTACCTGTGATGTTTAAAAAAGCACAGGCGCTGTTTCCTGTCTCGTATCTTTTTCTGTGAGGGCTCACCGACGGATTGTTTTTGTTTTTTGTTTTTTTCCTTAATGTATTTGGTTGTTGCAGGGTGTCCCTAGCAGGCTAGGACTTGGTGATCCTCCTGCTTTCAGCTTCCCCAGTGCTGGGATTACAGGTGTGTGCCACCACGCCTGGACTCTGGCCAGCTCAGCCTGCCCTGGGGGTGGGGCTGGCGAAGCATGTGGTGCCAGGGATTGAACCACAGTCCTTGCACTTGCCTAAGCAAGCACTTTAGTCTGCTGAGCTATCTTGCTGGCCCAACTCTTGGCTTCTTATACCAGAGGTGGATACCACATGGACTGAGCCTCTCCCTTCTCCCTGAGGAGAGACTTTGAACCAAGTGGCACTGATATCGAAGGGTCACAGCTGACTTGGACATGTGGTGTGAGCCTCTTTCTTGGGCTCCCCAGGCTTCTAGGTGCTGCTGGGTCCTGTTGGCCTAATGCCTCAGGCTTTGTGTCTCCACTCTTGAGCTAGCTTGAAACTAATTTTGTGTTTATTCTTTTTAATCTAGTGCCATGTGGACTTGCTCTGTTTCTGCACTCTACACTCAGTTTCTCTGTGGCTGTTCCCCACCCTGCCCCTTCCAAGGCCTATGGTGGAGCTGGGGCAGGCAGTGCATGGAGTGTGAAGTGTCAGGCTGGTCCTGTAACCAGCTTCTTGAGGCTCCTGAATGAAGTGTCCTATGAGACAGTCCCTTGGGATCCTGGCTGCTGGGCACTGGAGGGGCATTTGTGAATCACAGCTCCTCCTGGGGTGTTGCAGCTCAGAAGCTGAAGGAAGGGAATGAACGTTTTACTCTTCTCCTTGAGTGTAGATCAGAGCAACCTCTGTGTTCCTTTAGGGCCTAGCTCAAGGGTCTGAGGACTCCTTTTGCCCCTGTATCCTCCCTAAACCGCCCCCCACACCTCACCTCACCTCCATGCCTACTTCTGGCCTCAGATGGAGCAGGCAAGGAGTTTCCAGCTGGAATTCCTGTGTGGAGGAAAGGGATGGAAGCACTTGTTCCTAAGGCCCTGGACAGGTCTTGGTGCCAGAGGCGGCTTTAGCCTAGCACAGCTCCACAGCCTCCCAAAAGTGCACCCATACGGGGCTGGCACACTTCCTTCCTCACTGTCTCAGTGGAGTTGACTGCACCTGTTCCAGCGCATCAGACTGCTGCGCCCAAAGTGGGCTGAACTAGAGAGCATGCTTCCTGCACACAGAATGTAGAGGGGTCCTGTGGGCAGAGTACACTCTGGCTCACCCAGTGGCTCATTCTTACTCTCCTGGCATCTGGACTATCCTGGTCTCTAACCGCTGGCTGCATGTCAGGTTAAACCAGACCTGGCTGCAATCCTCTTTGACCTGGGCAATGTTGATTTTTAAATGGCCTTACCCTTCAGCCACTCAGCCAGGCCCTGTCCTTGTAGAAACTGGCTTTGGATCAGGTTTCTCCTGGGAAGTAGCTTTCTCCCTCAGGCTTCCATGAAAGAGCCAACTTGTTCTACTGTTCTGTTGTCCAGGAGATGCATACTTGAGACCACCTGTCTCCATTTGAAAAGGACCTTCATTCTGGTGTGTCCCCCAAACCCAGCATCTGGTCCTAAGGTGCTGGGGAGCAGCGAGAGGGGCAGGCTATCTGCACAGATAGGAGCAGAGGTTAGAAGCTGGCCATCAGGGGACCCTCAGCCAGCAAGCCAGGAGTCAGGGCCTGTGTCTTTGCCTTGTATAATGGGGAAACTAATTTCACCCAGGCCAGCAGTGGGAAGAATGGGAACAGGTGAGACTGATTTGCAGGCTGAGACATGAGACAGGGTTTGGAGTAGTTGGGGTATGTGGTAGTGAAGACCTGAGCCCAGGGCTGGGAAAGGTAAGCAAGGAACCGGAGTTGGGAAGAGAACTGGCTGTCCAGGACCATTGCCCAGCAAGCTTGGGGGACCAAGCACTGCAGCCAGAGGCTGGCCCTCTGAGCCTGCAGCAGCTGTACCACTGTCTGAATAGGGATTGCTGGTAAACATGTCAGGGTTGCCTTTTGGTTGTCTTTTAGGTTTGTGTTTTCCCTCCACGGTAGGTAGACTCTGGGTCCACATGACAACTTTATAGGATCTGTCAAGGCAAGAAGTCTTTTGTGCCCACATTGGGCAGTGTAAGGCCACACTCCTGAGCTAGTTGTATTGGGCAAACGGTCAGTTCAGAAATATATTCTGTAGCACAGTAATGAAAGGTCGTGACCAGAGCTGCTTGGAGTGGTGGGATCAGTGTCTGCAGAGCTGCTCATTGTGGTTTGCCATGCAGCCAGGAAGGAGGGGACCACCTGCCTTCCCTGTGGATGCCCTGAGCAGCCCACACACTCACTTCCAACCTACTTCTTCTTTCCCCAGAACCTCCAGTGGGCCCGCGATGTGTTGCTAGGCAGCAGTATCCCATGGCAACAACTGCAGCACATGCCGGCACAGGGGCTCTTCTGCGAGAGGAACAAGACCAATTTCTTCAACGTGAGTACTTTGCCTTGTTGATTTCTGAGGCTGCTTACTGTTAGTGCTTTTCACTGAAGGCGTGTGAATCAACCCTGATGGGTGGGCTTTCCCAGGGTCATGGGCTTGTGGGATTCTCAGAGGGCAGGCAGGATGGTGCGGGCTAAAGTAAGACTTGGGTATGGGGCTGTGATTGCTGAGTGACTTCTGAAAAATCACTGTCCCCTCTAGGCACCAGTGTGCCCTCTGTAGGAAGGGGCATGTTTAAGCTTGGTATATTCTCTAAAACCCCAGGTGTTCTAGGGCCATTTGGGCAGTAGGGAGGGGACCCCATGCCCATAGCAGTGCTCCTCTGCAGCAGGTCTACCTTCCCCTGAATGATCTGGGGCACAAAGGAGATTCTAACTGAAGGTGACTCTTGTCACTAAAATACAAGTTTTCCCAGTGCTAGGCTTTCAGTGCCCTTCCAACCTACCTGTTCCATGTAGGGTGGAGACCCACTTCACTGCCCAGACCTGTCTGCCTCCCATCCCAGAAAGCCTACATCTCCCTTTCTTGACGCTATGCCAGTCCCAGCCCACACTTGTTCTGCCCATCATAGAACAATCCTCATTCATGTCACCTGAAATTCCTTACCCATCTTCCACCAGCTCCTCGCACCATGCTGGGTAGCTTTGGCAAGTTACACATAGCACCTCTCATCTTTGGTTTCTTCTGTATTTTCCCTGATTTCTTGATATGTACCAGAGAAGCAGAAGGGTGGAGTCAGCCCAAACGGGAGCCCTCCTTTGAGGGCCCATCTCAGACTGAAGGAGTGTCACAGACACTGGTTCTCAAGGTGCGTGGCGGGCAGGTCTCCAGCAAGAGCCAGCCACGTGGGAGTGTCTGAGTCCTTAACTCTTCCCTTCTCCCAGGCTGTGACCTTCTGGAGCCAGTAAGGTCCAGGCCCTGGGAACCCTGCATCTATCTACCTTCGGTTGGTATTTCATAGAGTTGTAGTCGTTTCATTGGTAATCAGTCTGTGTGGTACCAGGAATTGGCATGAAAGAGAAACATTCTCTCACCACATGCCCAGACCCTAACCCCTTTTCCATAGTAGCCACTGTTCTTTGTCCCATGTGTCATAGAGGATGCCTGCCATAAAAGCCAGTTCATATAGGTATACACAAGAGAAAGAGTGTATGTTTTTGCCTTTTTTGGAACTTATTTTAAAACTTGTTCATTTTAACAATTGATTATGACGCTAGGGGTGAAACTTGCTGGGCCCCAGCCTGCTGATTCTTTTTAATAGCTGTCCAATACTCCAAACATGTGCGTGCCCCAGAATTTCTATCTGCCCATCTCCTGTTGATGGACAGTTAGATATGTCAGTCTTGGGTTACTACAGACAAAGCTTCGTGTGTATGTCATTGTACATCTGTAGGAGTCTATTTATAGGATAAAATCTAGAAATAGAACTGCTGGGTCAAAGGGTTTGATATCTTTGAAATACTAGTAAGTAACTACCCTCCAAAGACCTGACCCACTTTCCTACCTTTAGCCTTTTTTCCCCCCAGATTTCATCAACACAGTATTACTGATTTTTTTTTTTTTCTTTTCTCAGTACTGAGGACTGAACTCATTGCCTTTGTGCATGCTAGGCAAGCACTGTACTGCTGAAAGACATCTCCAGCCCTTTCTGTTTTCTTATTTTCTTCTTGAGACATGGTCTTACTAAGTTGTCCAGGCTGGCCTGGAACTTGACATCCTCCTGACTAAGCCTTCTAAGTAGCTGGATTAATAGTGTGTGCCTCCAAGCCTAGCTCATGTTTGCTTTCTTTTTTATTTTTTTTTAAATTTTTTTAATTGTTTTATTTATTTGAGAGAGAGAGAGAGAGGGAGGGAGAGAGAGAGAGAGAGTGTGGCCAGCTCAGCCCACCAGGGGGCGGGGCTGGCTGGCATGTGGTGCTGGGGGATTGAACCGCGGTCCTTGTGCTTTGCTAAGCTTGTTCTAAGTAGGTGCTTTAGACCACTGAGCCATCTCTCCAGCCCCCCCATGTTTGCTCTCTAGTAAATGAAAATCTAGAGTGTGTGTTATCTTCATTATGTGTTGAGATTGTCCATGGTACCACGTTAGTAGTTTTAACTTCTGTGCAATTTTGATCTGACTCATGTTCATTTTCCATAGAATTCTTGGTTTGTTTCTTAATCATTTATAAGATTCTCTGTGTATTAAAGAAATGTGATCTTTTGCAAATCTGTATTTCTGCAGCTGATAGGTAAGAGTTAGAACCAAGCAAGCTGCTTAATGTCTCTGAATTGGGGTACTCACCTGGTACAGTGGATTTCCAAAACAAAAGGGCGGGGTGGTTCCTGACTTGAAGAGTAACTGTAGGAACCAAATTAGATAATGGAAGACGAGCAAGTGGGTTTCCATTACACTACTTGAAGAGTACCATGGGAATCAAATTAGATGATAGAGTAGTGTCTCCCATCCCAGTTTCTGGCACATAATAGGTTCCCAAGAAAATGGTTTTCTCCCTCCCATCTTCCCTTGTTGTTGATACTTTACCCTTAAAAATAGTACAGTGACACTGGAAGAGAAGACAGAGCCACCATGTCTGCCTTGTGAGAGAAGCACTCAGCCTGTCTAATGAGGAAGTTAAGAAGCCAACGCTTCAGGTGTCCACTCCCAAGGAACACATCTGAACTGGGACCAGAGGCTCTAGGCCCCTTGTCCACTGGGCTCTCTCCTTGTAGCTCCTCCTATGATTTCTGAGATGAGTCCTATGGAGAAGCAATCCGAGGTTGTGTGTGTGGGAGGGAAGGCTCAGAGGGCCCACGTGGGTCGGGCACATGAGCAGCGCCTCCCTTACGGCCAGAAGCTGCTGGGGAAGCTTGGACTGGTGTTCTGAGTGTTTTGCCTCTTTGTGGTCAGCAAATGTTCCTCCAGTAGGTTACTACTTTTGCCACCCTGGGGCTCTCTTCTAGCCTCCTCTGCCTTCTTAGGTTCTTTGGCTTCCTTGAGCCATGCTTGACACAAAGTACTGGCAGACCACGAGAGCTCTCCACACAGAAGTCTGCCGAGTGCTTTACCGAATGTGTGGAATCAACTGTTTACTAACATATTGATGGAGGAACACTTAAGACAGCCCCTGACTGGCTGCTGGGATAAGGCCATGACTGACAGAAGTGATTGTATGTTAGGGTCAGCAGACTGTGCCTTGAGGTCTACTGCCTTGTCCAGGAAAGCAAAATAAGGGGTTGGGGGCTGGCAATCTCAGGTCTGGCCCAGCCTGGTCCAGAGGAAGTGGTCACTGAGTATGAATGGAGGATTGACTCTATTCCTCTCTTTTTCCCAAATAGATGACTTCCATTCTTCTAGTCCAGTCAGTGGTGGGTATTATGGAGGACAGGGAATTCCCTGGCCTTTGCTCCAGGACACAGGAGGCTTTCCTATCTTTACATCTTTATACAGGGTTTCTGTTCACTGAAGTATATGGGAGTATCCATGTACTCCCCATGGGAGGGGCAGGAAGCCAGCCTCCAACTGCCATGGTATATAGGGTGCTTCTCTCCTAGGAAAGGCACAGACTAGGATTAAAGGCACTCTTGGGAGGGAAGCTTTGCAGGCTGGGCCTTTGTGGGGTGTGTAAAGGACCAGCAGCAAAGGTGGGTGAGTGGTGAGGGACACAGATAAATGGGACCTTTGGTTCCAGTGTTCACAGGCCTGCCCCACAGCTAATTGGTCCTCCATAGCACCTGCTAAACATGGTGTGTGTGAAGCCAAGTGATGTGGTTGGACACATGGGTAAGTGAGGGAGAAATACATGTGGTATAAATCTAGACCCACTGTTGCACACATTGACTGAATTAGTGTCCACAGATAATGAAAAGTCCCCAGCCTTTTCCTGCCACCCCACCTATGCTGTGGAAGATCCCTACCCACCAGGCAACAGCAGATCCTGAGCTGAGGCATGTACTGGGGGTGGGGGACACCCCAGTTGAAGGCCCCCATGACGCCAGCCCTCTTAGCCAAAACAGCCAAGGCTGTTAGACATGTTGGTTGTGTTAGGTCCGAACCCACACAATCAACCAGGCCAGGCATTCTGACACGAGTAGAAGATTTATTGGGGGCATCAAGCAGGCTGGCTGTCTAGTGGACCAAAATAGCAACAAATAAAGGGGAGGGGGTGCAGGAGACTATAGGATCTTGTAGGGAGGTTGATCATGGCTGGAAGAGATGAGGGAGAGCTGATGTTGGCAGGGCTACCTGTTCTGTGGGGGACCTTTAATGTTAACAAAGGAGAGCTTTGTGGTTGCTTGCCCAGGTCAAGGTCAGGTGGACCTGTGCTGTGGTTTGGGGTATGGCTCTGCATGGGGCCAAGAGGGAGAGAGTGTGTGGGCAGGGTGCCTGGGAAACTGAATCCTGACCTGTCAGGTTGGAGCCACAACTGGAACCACTACTCATCCTTTTGCCGTGTTGGATAGGCACTGTCAGAAAGCATGTGGCTATGGGACAGCGGTGGCTTCTGAGGCCAGTGATGCAAAAAAGGTAGCCCAGGGAAGACACATAGGTCCTCAGGGGCAGACTCTGAGGTTTGGCTAGGCCTGCAGATGCAGACAGCCACCTTCCTGACCCAGTGCTGCACTGGAGGAGGCTGCAGAGGGAAGAGCCTAGGGGCTGCCCTTGCCTGGAGAGGAGGGTTCAAGACGGCACGTGCAGGTTGGATGGCAAGTACTGCTAGATTGCTGTCTATACCATGGACACTGTGGGCTTATTTCTGGGTGCCCAAAAGCTTCTGGGGTTTCCTGTGCAGATGTATTTACCTCTGTGCATGGAGGCAGGAAGCCCTAAGTGCTCCACAGCCTGGCTACTTTGGCCAGGGCAAACTTTTCTCCTTGCCTTGTATTTGATTCAGAAACGTTCCCATAGTAACTGAGCCAGGGATGGCTGTTTCCTTTCCCCAAAATGTTTGCTTATTTTAGCAGGCAGGGTTTTTTCCTGCATCAACCCAGTTTCCAGCTTCTGTGGAAGAAGC